CTCACGTAAGACATCTTAAACTTGTCTGTCTTTTTTGGACCAGCATTGAAGGAATCGACCACCAGGAAGTCAGCCCCATGAAATCCAATATATCTGAAATGTAGGACAGTAGAGAAATGGTTAACAATATAATAATGTGATCATGGAGATGGGGTACTCTGTTCCGTGAGTCTTTAAAATGAACACTTAAAATGGAAAAATATATTCATGTTGTCTTTGTAAGCAATACAATACAACAGCCATCATGTAAGGAAACAAACCTAGGTTTTGTTTAACCAACACCAGCACACCCAGATGAGGGATGGCACAATCCCTGGGGCTCTGAATACGTGGTAGTACCTGTGAGATTGGGTGCTGTGAGCTAAGCCTGGGTACCACCTTCCTCTCTACCCAGAGTCCTTGCCAAACGGGGCAATGAACAGATCTCTGATAGTCACGGTTTAAATTTAAGGCAGTGAAGAAACACTTGGAGTTACCTGTCCTTAGGAGAGGACCTGTCCTTGGTCCATAACAGCCAGCACAGGAGATGGGGTAGATTGTTGCTTTACTGGTCTCACAGCAGTTGTACCTGAATCTACTACTGTCTTAGTTTCTGACTGTGCTCAGTTGTCTGCTTAGGTCGGGAGAGACTTTCGCATTTTGCCATTACCTCTGCTGTTGCCACCAAATGTAGTTTTTAATCTGAGTCTCTATCTATCTTTCTATTTTGCCAATAAAGACTCAGGAGCCAGTTGTTAGGGTGAAAACCTGGTAGCTAAGAGAGGCAGAGAAAGCACACAGCTGCTTCATCTTTCGCTGCCTTTCACAAAAGAGTTTCTCTTCTGCCATCCCAACCCAAAATGGACCGCCAAACTCAAAGTCCCTCCCTACTACTTCCTGTGTGTCTCTATCCATCTTCATGACTTCCTCTTACTCTCTATGGCTTGTGTGTGTGTGTCTGTGTGTGTGTGTGTGTGTGTGTGTGTGTACTGGTTGCTTGTCCAGCTCTCGATCTATGGTTGATTTTATCTAATCTTTTACAGGGGTGTGATGAGGCTGAACCAGGCCACAACCAAAAACAGGTTTTTCCGGTAAATAGAGCAATCTTGGGGTTCATAGTGTGATCAAATATCCTGCAACAGGAGCTGATGTGCAGGATTACCCATTGTGGTAGGGTCATGAGGGCATTCTACACACAGTTCCATCCAGAGAGCACAGCCCAGATTCACCCAGTTGTGTTTACTCTCAACTTGACAGGACTTAGAATCACCTGAGAGACAAGTCTTTTGGCATGCCTGGGTTCTGGGGGTTGGGGGTTAGCTTAGTTAAGACAGGAAGAGTCACCTCTAAAAGTGGGCTGCAACATTCCTTGGGCTTGGGTCCTAGACTGCATAGAAAGAAAGCTTATTGCTCTTCACCCACCGCTTTCAGCTTTCAGACTGCAGATCCAATGTGAGCAGCTGTCTCAAACCCTTCACACTGGGACTTGCCATTCATGATGGACTGGGAATGGAGAAGAGGACATGACTGCTCCTAGGTGTGGCTGAGAAGGTTTGCTGTAGGTATGAGGGAGAAAATAGAGGCATATGGAAGGGTCCAAACTGAACTGGGCCATGGTTTTTGATAAAAAACAAAACAAAACAAACAATCAAACAAACAAAAAAGCCAAAAATGCACACTGGAAAAAAGAAAGCATCTTCAATAATGGAGCTGGTCAAACTGGGTATCCACATGTAGAAAAATGCAAACAGATCCATATCTATCACCCTGCACAAAACTCAAGTCTAAGTGGATCAAAGACCTCAACATAAAACCAGATATATTGAACCTGGTAGAAGAGAAAGTGGGGAATAACCCTGATCACTTTGGCACATGCAGTTGGAGACAACTTCATGAACAGAACACCAATAGATAACACAGACACTAAGACCAACAATTAATAAATGGGACCTCATGAAATGGAAAAGCTTCTTTAAGGCAAAGGACACCTTCATTTGGACGAAGTGGCAGCATACAGAATGGGAAAAGATTTTTACCAACTCCACATCCAATAGAGGGCCAATATCTAAACTATATAAAAAACTCAAGAAATTAGACATAAAAATAGCAACAAATAATCCAGTTAAAAATGTGGTAGAGATCTTAACAGAGAATTTTCAATAGAGGAATCTCAAATGGATGAGAAACACAAGAAATGTTAAATATCTGTAGCCATTAGGGTAATGCAAATCAAAACTACTTTGAGATTCCATTTCACATCTGTCAGAATGGTTGAGATCAAAACCACAAGTGACAGCTCATGGTGATGAGGATGTGGAGCAAGGGGAATACTCCTCCCCTGCTGATGGGAGTGCAAACTTGTACAGCCACTACGTCAATCAATATGGCAGTTCATAGAAAATTGGGAATGGATCTACCTCAAGAGCCAGCTACACCATTCTTGGGCATAAATCCAAAGGATGCTCCATCCTGCCACAAGGACCCATGCTCAACTATGTTCATTGCAGCTTTATGTACAATGGCCAGAAACTGTAAACAACTTAGATGTCTCTAAGCAGAATGAATTAAGAAAATGTGGTACATTTGCATAATGGAGTATTACTCAGCTGTCAAATAACATCATGAAATTTGTATGCAAATGAATAGAACTAGAAAAAAAATCACCCTGAGCAAGGTAACCCAGACCCCAAAAGACAAATATGGTATGCATTCACTTGTAAGTGGATATTAGCCATTAAGTAAAGGATAACCAAGCTAAAACCCACAGACCCAAAGTTGTTAGGTAAAGGAGAGGGCTCTATGGGGGACACATGGATCTTCCTGGGAAGAGGAAATAGAGTAGATATTATGCGTGAACTGGGGGCTGATAGGGATTGGAATAGACATGATTAGGTGTGGGGGAGGGAGAGATAGGATTGAAGGTTTCTTAGTTGCGGTTTATTATTGCTGTGAAGAGACATTATAACCACGGCTACTCTTATAAAGGAAACATTTAATTGTGGTGGCTTGCTTACAGTTCAGACGTTCAGTCCATCATGCTAGGGAGTATGGCAGTGTGCAGGTAGGCATGGTGCTAGAGAAATAACTGAGTGTCCTACATCTTGCAGGCAACAAGAAGTCTCACTGGGTAGTGTCCTGAGTATATGAAACCTCAAAGCCCACTTCCACAATGACACACTTCCTCCAACAAGGCCATACCACTCCAATAAAGCCACACCTCCTAATAGTGTCAATCCCTTATGAGATTATAGGATTATGGGGGTCAATTACATTCAAACTACCAGAGAGAGAGAGAGAGAGAGAGAGAGAGAGAGAGAGAGAGAGAGAGTTCAGGGAGAGACATCTGGAATTGGTGGTCACTTGGAGGTAGTGTGAACACTGAATGCAGTGGAAACTTCCAGGAATCTATGAGGGTGATCCCGGTAAGGACTCCTAGTAGTGGGGGATATGGACTCCAGAGAGGTACGTGAGTTCTATGTAAATGCACACTACATGTATTCATTTATTTACTTTTATACCCTCATCCTTCATATGTGCATATATGCAGGAGTATATTCCAAAGCCAGTGGAGAACCTCTGGCGTTTCTCCTGGAGACAGGATCTCTCACTGACCTGGCCATTGAGTTCCCTTCAGAGAGTTCAGGAGATTGGAAGCTCAACCTGTCTCAACTTTCTTGAGCTATGGGCTTACAGGCACGTACTTCCACAACACGTTTTGTGGGTCCTGGGCATTTGAACCCAGGTCCTCATGTCTGTAAAAACTGGCCTTACCCACTGTACCATTTCAAAACCAGCACTCTACTGTCCCAAGGGCCTTGAGCATCTTTGGGTTGTAGCAACCTTAAGGGAGCAATCTCCATGGATACGGGGGTGGGGTAGGAGGATGACTAACAGGATGAGTTTGCGGTATGGAAGAAATGCTGGTAGATTTGATATCTTCAGTGGCCCCATGGGAAGGACCAGACTACAGCAAGACAAGAGTGCCCTTTCTGAAGTCAGTTTCTCTCCCCAGAGACATCATTTGAACCCATACAGTCTGGAACTGGCTGAGCTGAATTAGGCAGTTTCCCCAAGGGCACAGCAAACAGGAGCTTCCAACTCCCTGAAGCTCTAGCTGTGCTACACTCCCCATTCACAGGATACAGCAGGCCGTTCTACCTGATACTATAACTAGAACACAGTGCACCAGAGGGCAGTGGGGCAGATCTGCACACAAAGCCAGGCACTGTTGGAATTCCATGGCCTGGTTTGTGGGTAGCAGGCATTTATGGCCTCAGTGTCTCACTAAATTGGCAGGAGCAATTAACATGGGCACCAGTTTACAACTATAGAGGACTTTTACAACATGCAGCACATTTTGAGGGAATGCTTTTTTTTTTTTAATTTTTGATATTTGGAACCTCATGTCCACATGCAGCAATGAACAAAGACGCCGTGGGATGTGAACAGAGCCTGCTGCTATCTCTGCGGATGTGCTGCGGGTATCATCAATCTAACTATCAGCTGTCCTCCTTCCATCCATCCACCCACCCACCCACCAGCTAGCCTTGAACTCACTATGATCCCGAGTTCTCGATCCTCCTTCCTCCACCTTCCAAGTGCTGTAATTACAGGCGAGTATCGCCACAGCAACACTTTGCTTTATTTTAAACATAGTATAGGATCTTCACACTGGACACTATCTGTTCAGAAATCTTCATGAGGTCAAGGAAGCCCATGAGGGAGGTTCAGTGTCCCTCAGCCGCTAGGGGGATGGCTTCATTTTAAGCCACGTCACTTTCTTAAAATTAATCTTTGCAAAACGAAGAAAATAAAGCTTCCATCGTGACTTTTTACTTCAATGGCCCACAACACTGCGTCTGTGGCATTATGGAATTATCTGAGGCTGATATGGTTCTATCTCTTTAAAAAAAAAAAAAGCAGCTAGGTAGGGGGAGCTGTGACTGCTGCACTCTTCTGGCCCTGCGCTGGATGCAGAGGCAGTCACGCTGGGACCTGCAGATGGTACAAAAGACACACAAAGCCCCAGCGATCCAGTTGGTGACTCCAGTTGGTGACGGCCTCCCGAGTCTCTGAGGGTCCCTCCGGTGCGTCTAGGAGCAGCTGCATTGAGCGCTGCGTCCTGTTGGAGCCGGGTGCCTCAGTTGCGCCTGCAATTGCTGGCCTGAGTCCGTGGACCACTGTCCTCTGCATCTGCGCCCTGGGGAGGACAGAGCAGCTCCAGCGTGTGTGGCCCCACGCTGTGTATCGGTGAGGAATTGTTACCATTGTTACCATTGCAGCGCCCGTTGTTCCTAGTGGTCTTAGTTCCAGAGGGGCTCTGACGGCAGGCTTTGTCTTTCTCTAATTTCCACTCCAGATTGCAGGGGGTGGTCACAATGGATCCACTGCTGTAATGAAGAGTGGGGTCCGGACTCTTGGGACGTACACAGTGGTATTCTCAGAATAGCTTATTACTTAATTTGTAGCGTCCTAATTTTAATAGCATGTTCTTAAACAGCCCATTTCTCAAATACCTTATAGAATGATACTCGAAAGCCTTTGGTGAAAAACATTTTTTTTTTTTAAAATTTTATTTCGTTCTACTAAATAATCAGATTCATAGAAAGCATTCTGTAATTTTAGCAAAATTCTCTCCCGCTCTACTGTCTGCTTTGCTTGCCTGTGTTTTCCATAAAATAAGGTCAGTATCTCAATGAAGAGCGTTCGAGCCTAATATGCTGGTAATGTTGGCTTTAACCTTCCTCCCTGTGTCTCTGAAAATAGCAAAAAGTCTTTCCATTTCAGCCAAAGACAGGGTGGGGGCTGATTCCAGGTGTTCTCTGGACTGATGGGAACTCTTTATTTCTGCACCACCCAGGTCACTCACGCCCAGCCTCATCTATTTGTCACAGGACAAATTTTTAAAGCCCCCACCGGCAGTCACATATCTGTTAGGGCGGTGCGAGGATTCTCTGTCTCCTGAGGCTCACTGATGACCAACCAGCTTTCTCTCCTTTGTCTTGACACTTAAACATTCTGTGCCGTTCCTATTCTTCTTTATCCTTTCTTTACCTCTCTTGACTTTTGGCTGCTCAAGTTTCTCCCCTGGGATCCTCACATCTTTCTGTGTCCCTTTCAGAGGAACCAAGCTAAGCCCATTCCATCCTCCACTGTCCCTCCTGTATCCTCAGCCCATAAGAATGGCTTTAAGAACCCTTGAAAGTTGCTCTGATGTTTTCTATTCTTCACACAAGAAGAAACACCCAGCCCCAGCTTTTGAGGAATAATGCCAGCTTACAGGAGGAATCCTTTGCTTTCTGCAGGACTGACCCTCAGCAGCTTCGGCCTCAAATGTCAGCTCAACTGGATCTTCACGCCATAACCCCTCCCCCAAAAGTCACTTACACTCTGTGTCTCAGTTTCCCCTCTGTCCAAGACATTGATGGTCATAATGGTCACATGATGGTATTGAGACACCAAATGTTTGTGAAGATAGCCAGCTTCTTCTACTAAAAAAGGCAGAGTGTGGCTAGTTAGTATTTGACTCATTCCCCATCCATCCATCCATCCATCCATCCACCCATCAATGAAATAAAGCCAAATAGCTTTGTATATTAGTTCTCCCTCAAAAGCTGAATTTAGAAATGAATTTTTGGCTGAGTGCATCTTAATCAGCCCTTGCTTTGGGTTCAACGCTATGCACTGTTCTACCAAGCCGTTTCTACATCTTTGAACTATGAAAGCAATGCTGAAATTTCCTCACCACCACAGGACTATTCTCCGGGAGAGGGAAGGCTGATTCCTCTTGCATACCTCTCCCTAAACACAAGATGATGGCAGTAGCTGTGACTGTATGGGCCCTGTCCACTAGGAACCCAAGTCAGGAAAGTTAAATGTGATCGAATGTGCCAAATTGGAAGCCAGAATCAGTCCCGTTGCTATTCTGATCTTGGACAGTCCAGGAGGCCATTCACTCTTGAAAGGCATTGCCAATCCTGAGACTATTTTTAATTTCTGCTTTGTCTTTCTCTTTTCTCTTTCTGTTTGTCCTTAAACTCTGCATTTACCATGTGCTGAATTTCAGTGTCTAGGAGGGAGATGTTGTACCCTCCTTGCCCAAGAGATGGAACACAGAAACTGGAAGAAGTTCAGGATTGGGGACCAGAAAGTGTGGTGCTGGCTTTGTTGACTTCTCTCTGTGCTGATCAGAAAACCATGTATCCTCATCACTAAAATAAGAGGTTTAACTTTCATGAGAGTTCTAAGCATATGACCCTAAGGACTCTCCTCACTGTCTCAGAAATAATAAAAAAAAAATTTTCACTTGCGGGGTAAAAATTAGAAATTAAAATTATTCAGTAGACCCATTCTGTTGGTTACAAAATGCAAGATCAAGGGAATAGACGCTCAATGCTTTCTTATTTGAAAAGGAGAGATTGACTCAGAATAGCTTTTCTTGCTGAAGATCGCCAAGTTCTTAGACCCCAAACCCCAAGTTCTGGTTCTTGGTGTGGTGTTTTTCCTGCTGCACTTAGAATTTAAGGTGACAGGAAGCTAGAGAGGTTACAGTGATTGCCAGATTTGGGTGGACCCATCTTTAGTCCCTTTACAGTAATGGAACATCCAGGTAGACATTTGTTTAAAAATTCTCCTTCCAGTTGTATTGTGTGTCTGTTGCCTAAGATAGAAAGGAAGGATTCTGCAGACTACATAGCCTTTCACTTTCTCCAAAAAGATAAAAGCTTACAGCAAGTCAGTCACCTTACGAGTGGTGGTTTAAATTTCATAAGCATCTTTATTTCATAACTACTGAGTGCTAGGAAGGAGCGTGCATGCGGATCTTAACCGTGTCTGGAATTTGTGGACAGTTCCACACGACAGTAGATTTAACATTTCCCCTTGTTTAATGTGATGATACACTTAACCATTAAAATTCCCCAGTAAAACAAAGTTAATATTGGATAAGACATACATACAGTAAATATTGACTACCTGAAGTGGAGATGTGACTGGGCACATATAGCTTTATAATTCTCATTTTCTAAATCTTACAATATTGCAGAAGCAAAAATTTAACTGTTGGATTAAACAATAGCGGCTTTGCCCTTAAAGATCTGAATTTGTTAGATTTTGAAGCTCAACCTGTAAGACTTATTCCTGTCAAAACCTCCTCTTATTTTTATTTATCAGTGTTTTTGTTAAATGTTTGTGCAGAGTAATTGCTTAAGGATGAAGAACGTATTTGTTCGACTCGTTGTTATAGTCTTTAGAAACCCATCAAAATAAATAAATAAAAAGCCCAAGACTCTTAGTGGATTTGCTCAGAAAAGCAACTTCTTAAAGATAAATGAGCTCCTTATGTCTTCCAAAAAGTACATGATATTCATCAACTCTTGTCAAATTTGGTAGATTTTAACTGTATTTATTTTAATGTTATTCTTATCAGCTTTACTGAGATATTATCCATATGACCTACAGTTTGTTTCTGCTCTGTGTTTATGGAAAATTTTGTTTGTGCGTGTAGATGGCTTTTTTTTGCCAGTGTAAGGACCCGCAAATCCCTGCCTACCCCAGTCGGCAATACTGGCTGATTGAAACGTAATGACACAGGATCAACCTGATTCAAGAGCTAAAACCAGGTGTTTGTTCTTGTGACCTGGACACAAGAGTTTGTGCACACTGCTGCAATTTGTACACCAAGTGTCTGAATTGCTCACACTATCAAATGCCTCCTGCATCCGGGATCCAGACCTTGCAGTGGGAAGCTTAGGGGGAGCCACACAGTTTTGAGGAATTGGCAGCAAAGGAAACGAGAAAGGCCTGCCTGGCTCACACATAGGGCTTCAGAACGCCAGGGAAAACCTACATGTTTTTCTCATTGAACTTGACGTAGGGTGTTTTCACAGCTGGCCGTGTTCCAGGGAAATCCCTAGGTGCATGTGTACACACTGAGAATCCTGCATCTCTAGTGTTTCATTGTGGTGGTATGGAAATGCATTTATTTCTACACTGATTGCAAAGGCCAAAGTTGGTCGTGGTGGCCGTGACCTTTTCTACAGCGTACAGCCCACAGTACTGGCATTAGAGACACAGGCAGTGCCCACTGTACGAGATCTTGGTCTATTGATTTGTAGGGTGAATTCATCCGACTTTTCCATTTGGTAAAGGTTGTTTCGAGCCTGTGCATTCTTTGCTGACTCTGTGTTCTGAGAGGACAGGGCAATCACTCTTGGTAAATCGCTAGAGGCCGAGGCCTAGAAGTCTGTCTGCATTTGGCTTTTTGTTTCTGTGTTGAAGGCATTCAAGGGTAAGTTCTTGCCATGCCTGGGGGTTTACTGCATGTGACTTTGTTTGGCAGTGTGGATTTTTAGTTCTCATCTACAGGTGAATGGATACCCTGCTCTCAGGAGAGGGCCGGGTGCAGGGCTGTGCCTGTTTGCAATAAATGGCTTAAATGGCTATTACTGAGGCTATTCTGATAGCTGCAGAGAGCTGTGGCCACCCAGAAGTCCTGTGGCACCATGAAGGGCCTCAGAAGAAGACAGCTCCTGCGTCCCACCCACGTCCTTTCCACGCAGCCTTCGCTTTGCTCAGCCCCCAGTGTTTCAAGTCTGTTCAAAAGGCTCTGCAATCTAACAGAAACCCTATATAGGACAAAGCCCTAAGATGACTCTAGCTATGTTTTTGTGCCAATTGCACGGGAAGGCCTTTCTTCTCATTTCCTCAGTAACAGCCAGGCGTGTGTGTCCTAGCTCCTAGGAGGTCCGCTCTGACCTTGCTGCTTCAGTGCATTGGCTGCAGCTTAGATCCCGCTTGTTTTCTCCAATCTGCTCAGTGCTCACCTCCACAGAAGCACAGCTTTGGATTAAGGGATCCTGGCCAGTCGTTGAGAGACCGTGCCTTACCCCCCGACTCCTGGCTGTTTATTTCAAGCCATATAATTCTCAGGTACGTCTGCATCAGTTAGAGAGTGAAGTTGGCACATCTTTCTTCCTCCTCCCCAGGTGAAACCACACAGTGCCAAATCTTGCTTGGGAAGCTCAGGTTGCCAAAGCAGGATATTTTTGCTGAGGAGGCAAAGAGGTCACGTCATAGACATGATGCTAATGCCAATCACGGAGAGAGGCTCCAGTTTTCGGAGCCAAGTGAATGATTGATTGAGCAGCTGGCCAGAAGTGTCCAGCCTCATTCCCTCACAGCCCATGCAGGGCACCCATTGCTTTGACCTGAACGGAGTGTGTGAATTGGGGGACAGAAGCCATCACAGGCCATTCCATAGGCGCATGTAATGTAGTGCGCATGAGCAAAGACAGGGCATCAAGACTTGACGCAAACTACCATCACTCTGTTAGGCGCTTTTAGACGCAGTTCACTTGGTTTCTATGGAGACACTGTTTGTGGGTGGTGCATGGCCTCTTTGTCCAGATGTAGAAAGTCAGGCACAAAGAAATTGCAGAATTTGAAAGCGGTGAGAAGGCTCCGGAAGGTTGTATGATGGTTTGTTCTTTTCCAAATGGCTCTGAGGGGGCGGGGAGAACCTGAGGCCCTCTAAATGCTTTGGTGCTCCCAAGGAACTTGTCTTCACTGATGGACCTCTGGGGCACTAGCTCAGTTTTCACCCTCCGCATCTGCTCCAACTTCCCGCTTTCTTGTAATGGGTTCTCACGGAGTTTGCCAGCTTCAGTAGTGTCTTTCTAGAACCAACGGGTGCTGTTTTCCAGAGCACCTCTGCTCCTTTTATTAATCATCCTCTCCTCTTCAATCATCTTTCCTTTGGGGTTAGTCCCATGACTTTATTCCTCAGCTCTTGAAATTAAAACTCAACCCAGTCTTCAACCATCCTTCCTTCTGAATGAGATCATTGAAGATTATAGCTTCCCCGATGCATGTACTGCTCCGTTTTTAATGAAGAATCCAGGTGAGGAATGTCTTTGGAGGGCATGCGTATCCAGTCTGAACGTGCAGTTCCTCGGGCATTCATTTTAGTTCGTTTCAGGAGCTCTCTGTGGCACATGGCCCTGCATTTCCGCATATAGAGATGGAGTTTTGCCATGCCGAATCCATTTATGAGAGCTGAGAGTGCTTTCGTTTATTTCCTATTGCTACCAACACAACTCTATAGACTGGGTAGGTTATGAAGAAAACAGGACGATCAAACATTACAGATCGGGTCGAAGGTCAAGTGGCTCATTTAATGTGACCTTGTTGCTTCCTGCTGGTACAGTCCCAAGGCTGCTCAGACCATCATGTAGCAGGAGTCAAGGAGCGCGTGAGTCTCCTCTGTTCTTTCCTCTTCTGATATAAGCGTTAGCATCCAATCATGGGCACACCACTCTTGATATTTACCATGTCAGCTCCCCAGGGCCCCTCTGAACTCACAGCTGGGTTAAGTCTCCTTCTGTGGGCTTTGCATCAGGAATGAAACCTCGGTGTGTGCTGCAGAGGGAGTAAGCCAGCTCCGGACTCTAGCGGCCTTACATCTGCTCTATTTTATGGTTGCATTTAAAATAAAAACTTAAGGAGCAAAAATCATTTTTATTTAAGGGAAAAAAATGTTTCTCTGCTAGTTTTTGAAACTTGCACTCATTGGCTTTTGATGGATGCCAATCAAAATGCCCTGTAAAAAAATAATTACAGAAAATTGCTGAGAAATTGTTTTCAGGGATGGGACTACATTATATTTCGAGTTTTCCTAGATTTTATTGGTCATCCGAAAATCAACCATGACTCTCTGTGATTACCTCTGTGGACATTTTATCTAGTGAAAAGGCTGGCTGGTTGGGATGTAGCTTAGTGGAGCGTGCCTGCCAAGCATGCTCGGGGCCCTGGGTTCTAGCCAATATAAGTAAATAGGTAAATAAATGAGGATGCTGGGTTGCACAAAGGTCGACCCAGGAGCTGATTTCTTATGGCTTCAGCCCTTCGCCTTCCTCCTGGAATGTGTTTAAACAAAATTACGTATTTTCCAAATTTCCTTAACATAGTATCAATCCAACCTCCCTCTAAACAGCTCTTACATGTCTAAGAAAACTTTGAAACTGCAAAGTATTTTTATAACTGTGACGTTTGTATAAATAGAAAATTTGGTCTCCTGCATCCCAACTTATCCTCGTTGCCAAAGTTTGTCATTTCTCCATTTTATTTCTTAAAAGGCAAGGCAATTTTAAGGATTAGTAGTCTTAAGCCTTTGCAACAGGCACATTTTCTATTTCTGAGACAAGTGTTTCTGGGGTGTGTGTGTGTGGTGTGCCTGTGTATATACTATATACTATACACTATACTATACTACACACCATATACTATACCATATACCATATATTATATACTATACAACCATATACCATATACTATATACTATACTAGTACTACAAGCCATATAGTATACCATATACCATATACTATACTGCATACAGGTTTCCACCTGTCCATGCTTCTCTTCATATGTTCTGGGTATCCAAACTCAGTATCTTCATACTTGGTCAGCAGGCACGTTCCTCACAGAGCCATCTCCCGAGTTCACTATCTGTTTTTCAAACATGAGATCTTGTCTGTGTTTAGTGCTAGGTTTGGATTTTAAGAGTATTGTCCCTCAAAGAAGGTATATTGAGAAGTAGGATTCACAGTAGGAAGAAATCAGGGAAACTGAACACACGAGCTAGGTCGATAAATAGATACAGTTATTATTTTAGAGGCCTCCATATCTAGTAACGCCTGTGTTTGTTGGTGTGTGTCTTGTTGGGAGGCTGGGGACTGGGGAATGTCATGCTGGTTGGCAGAGGTGCAGCACAATGATACTTTGTATTTAATAGGTCACTGTCGCTAAGGACCTGGCCATCTTCTGTGCAGTCTGTGTCCTCAGTGCACACATTTCATATCCTCCTAATTCTTTCCTTCGCCTTGTTTTTCCTTTTTCTCTCAGGGTCCTTGAAGTAAAGCCAAGATGCCGGTAGTTCCTGAGCTGGGAGAAGCGTTCACAGCAGCCAGTATTCCCTATTTCCTGAGATGAGGGTGGACACTGCCCTACCCAGCACCTCTACAGCATCTTCATCCTGCACCTTCCGTACAGAAGAACCTCAGAGCGCGCCTCCTCCGAGGAAAGTCGGAAACTCCCAGCAAGAGAATACAGGTTTGCTGTTAAAAGGCGACCTTATCGGACCAGAGTAGCATACAGAACACAGGCACAAAACACAATGTTTTCTGACGTCAGATGATGACAGATGCCGGGGGAAACGGGCTTTTCACCAGCTAGGAAGAGCTTTGCTCAGAGAGCACTCTGAAAGGAAACACTCACCAGCCTTAAGCAGAAGGAGACGGGAAACATCTGTGGTTTTCAAGGACAACCGCTTCAGAAGTAGGGACCATGGAGACCCAGGAGACGAGGTAAATAGTTAGTGTTTTAAGTGATAATTTATTCATTTATGTGTATGCACCCTCGTGGGTTTGGAGGTCAAGGGACTAGCTTTAGAAGTCCATCGTCTTTCTTTCCCCGTGTGAGTTTTAGGAATCAAATTCAGGTCATCAGCCTTGGTTAGAGGGTAGAGGGAACCTTTGTCTTGCGGTCCTCCTGGTTGCTGTTTTATGAGTAGGTGCCTGATCTTTAAGCTTAAGGACCTATACAAAATTATATGTTTATTTATTCCTTTTGAAATTTATTTGTGCTCTTTTTCTTTTCGGATGCTTTAAATTGAAATAGAATCACATCACTTTCCGTCTCCCCTTTCTCCTTCCAGGCCCTTCCAGCTACCCTCCCTCAAACCCATGCCCCTCCTCATGTTAATAGCTTCTTCTTCGATGATTATTGTTTCGTACATATGTATGTGTATGTACAAATATATATATATATATATATATATATGCATGCTTTTTCTCTAAGTATGAAACAAAGAGCTACTCATTTTGTTATGTTTCCTTTTGTGTGTGTGTGTGTTTCGAGGCAGGGTTTCTCTGTGGAATAGTCCTGGGTGTCCTGAAACTTGCTCTGTAGACCAGGCTGGCCTTGAACTCAGAGATCCACCTGCCTCTGTCCCCTGAGTATTGGGATTAAAGGTGGCCATATCAGAGTGCTACTCTTACTTGAATCACGTATTAAAGTTCCATGCTCAAAAGTTGAATTTTTAGTGAAGATCTTCTCCCAGTCAGTGGGTTGCCTTTTTGTCTTAGTGACAGTGTCCTTTGCTTTACAGAAGCTTCTCAGCCTCAGGAAGTCCCATTTATTCAATGATGCCCTTAGTGTCTGTGCTGCTGGGGTTATACGTAGGAAGTGGTCTCCTGTGCCCATGTGCTGTAGAGTACTTCCCACTTTCTCTTCTATCAGGTTCAGTGTGTTCGGACTGATATTGAGGTCTTTAATCCATTTGGACTTGAGTTTTGTGCATGGTGATAGATATGAATCTATTTTCATTCTTCTACAGATTGACATCCAGTTTTGCCAGCACAATTTGTTGAAGATGCTCTCTTTTTTCCATTGTATACTTTTAGCTCCTTTATCGAAAATCAGGTGTTGATAGGTTTGTGGGTTAAAGTCAGGGTCTTCTATTCAATTCCATTGGTCGACTTCTCTGTTTTTATGCCAATACCAAGCTGTTTTCAATACTGAATTTTTAGTACCATAAAACAAGAAAGACGATTTTCCATTTCAATCTGATATCCACAGATGAAAAGACTTCAAATTTTATTTTGCCACACTTGAACTACTAAAGGAATTAAAGAACAGCAACAGCGTTTCTCTGGTAGCTCCTAAAAACTGCACGTTAATGGGAACACCATCGCTTTCTCGGAACAGCTGTTGCCTAGCGTTGGCAGGAGTCTTTAGGAACTGAATCTTGATCTGCATTCAGGACTGGTCTTGAACGTGTCCCCCTCCCTTGGGCTGGGATTATTTGCTTGAACCATCACACTTGCTTGCTTTCGAAATGTATGAATGCACGTGGGTGCCATCAACCAGCCGGCACAGTCCTCACCCTCTGCATTTGCTAGGACCAAGCGAATCACCTGAAACTAATTAGTGATGCTGTCATTAGACACGAGAGGCGCATGCATAACTTTCATCACTCTTTGCAGTAGTCTGTAGATTTTTAGACGTTTTCTCAAGTACTTCCATAGTGGTACCTGTCCCCTGAATTTTGGAAGTAGATGCTTTTACAAATGAAAAGTGAATTGCCTTCGTTTAACTTAACAGTTGGCTGATTTGCTCTAAGAAACCTTGTCTGCAGCAATTAACATAGAACACTCACAGGTCCCGACACTAACGGCATATTGTCAATCATCGTAACGAAGCCCAATAATGTAGGTTGCTTTGCAATCACCCATGGATGATAAATTCTATCTATATCTCAAAGGAAATATGAATTAAATCTGAGTGTATTTTTTCAGAGAAGAACATTATATAGGCTCTAGGTACTTCAAGAATTCTCACTTTACTAAAAACTAAAATGTCAGTGAACAGCAACATGCACATGCGTGTGAGCACAAGCATACATGTGCGTACACAATTGTGCATCCACCGACAGCTTCATTCAGCTTCCTGGCTGCAGATCCCACATGTCTCTGCTGGTGTTCAGACTTGAGATGATCAGAATGAATACCAATGGAGACAGTAGGAAAAATGACCAAGTGACCTCAGAGGAAGGAGGATTCTAGTTACACTGCATCTGACAGATGGTTACATGGTTTCTGTAAAGGTGACTAGACACCAAAAGTAGATTCTATGTGGAGTTAGTGGGATGCTTGCTGCAGCTGGGTCAGATATGCTAGGGACAGGACCAGTTGAATAGAGAAAGAGATGGACAGGAATTTGGAATTCTTATTCAAAGAAAGGTGAGCTATCCTGCTCCTAGTCTATCCCTCATCTCCGGGTCTATCCCTCATCACCAAGTCTACTCCCTCATCTCCAGGTCTATCCCTCATCTCCAAGTCTATCCCTCATCTCCAGGTCTATCCCTCATCACCAAGTCTACTCCCTCATCTCCAGGTCTATCCCTCATCTCCAAGTCTATCCCTCATCTCCAGGTCTATCCCTCATCTCCAAGTCTATCCCTCATCTCCAAGTCTATCCCTCATCTCCAGGTCTATCCCTCATTTCCAGGTCTATCCCTCATCTCCAAGTCTACTCCCTCATCTCCAAGTCTATCCCTCATTTCCAAGTCTATCCCTCATCTCCAAGTCTACCCCTCATTTCCAAGTCTATCCCTCATCTCCAAGTCTATCCCTCATCTCCAGGTCTATCCCTCATCTCCAAGTCTACCCCTCATTTCCAAGTCTATCCCTCATCTCCTAGTCTACCCCTCATCTCCAAGTCTATCCCTCATCTCCAGGTCTATCCCTCATTTCCAAGTCTACCCCTCATTTCCAAGTCTATCCCTCATCTCCGAGTCTACCCCTCATTTCCAAGTCTATCCCTCATCTCCAGGTCTATCCCTCATTTCCAAGTCTACCCCTCATTTCCAAGTCTATTCCTCATCTACTAGTCTACCCCTCATCTCCAAGTCTATCCCCCATCCCATCTATCCCCCATCCCACCCTCATGTTCACTAAGGACCATCGAAAGCATTTTTTTTCCGAAAGCATTTCTTGAGGCTCCCTGGTTCAAGAAGCCAGATATTTAGTAAGGGGATTTCTAGGAAAATTAAAAGAAAGACAAAGACCTTTGGGATAAATTATAAATCTAGTTTTTGAGTATAAGGGTGACAGCTGAAATTTCTAGATGCGGAGCTAGATGCTTCTTCAGGGGATGGAGTCAGGGCATCACAGATCCAGTGGACTTCCTGTTCAAATGTCTCTGGAGACTGAATGGACACCAGAGCCAGCCATGGTCATTGCCTGGAGCAGAGCACAGGGAAGCAGGAGAAGGCGGAGGGGCTGAGTGTGGTTTTCCAGGAATAATCAGAGCCCATGAGAGACTCTGAGTGAGCAACAGGGGCCTGGGCTGCCGTGGTCAAAGAGCAGAGATTATGTAATAGGAGAACAAGTTGTTTCTGCAGCACCTAACGTTTGCAAGTAACGACCGGACCTGTGAGAAACAGCATGATGCGGGATGTGTCGCAGAAAGGACATTTTCTAGGCTTGTAGTAGAACTAATTAGTATTACTTCCTCATATGAATATAGTCTAGATTAGAGAAATCCTGGAGTTCTTAGAATATTTGATAATGTGTTGTACTCAATTCAACATGCCAAATAAATGTTTGTTAGTCTTACAGTAATGAACACTCATTTCATAAGGCAAAAGAACACATTTAGAGAGGTTGCTTTGCTCCCCCTCAAAGAAATCTCAAGGTCAGTTTGAGGTCTAGATTTATTTAGTAATCTAATTTGGGGAAGGCAAAAAAAAATAAGTTTGAACATTTGACTAAATAGGATTTTAGGTTGCTGTGATGAAATTCTTGTCTGTCTATGGAGCCAAAGCAACAAAGATTCAGAAGGGGGTCACGTTTATATGTGGAAAACAAACGCCCCTCAGAGGCTGGAGGAAGGTGGCTCAACGTCAAAAGCACCAGATGTTTTGGCAAAGGTTTTGTTCCCACCACTGACATAGTGGCTTACAGCTGCCTATAATTTCAGTTCTAAGGGCCCAAAACCCTCTTCGGTTCTGTGAGGACTCCTGCGTACGTGTGGTGCACATAAATCCATTCAGGCACACATGTATATAAATTTAAAAAACAAAACACTTAAAAAAATCTTCCTTCTTTTAAAAGTTTAGATGAATCATCCAAAGAATAAAGGCATTTCCAGCTGGATGTGGTGATGCACGCCTTTAATCCCAGCTCTAAGGAGGCAGAGACAGGAGGATCTACAGGTCAGCCTGGTCTACAGAGTGAGATTGTACCTCAAAACAAACAAACAACAAAACTAAAACAACAAAACAAACCAAACAAAAAATAATATTTTTTTATTAAGAGAAGACCCTTAATCAAAGACAAAACAAAATAAACAAACAAAAAACCACAACTCAAAATAACCAGCTGTTTTCTTTTTTAAAAGCTTTGATGCATTGATCTCATTTTGGGAGGACTTGACACATAAATTTATTTTGTGTTATTTTCTACAAAGCTTATGCAACTGTTTACCCCCCTCAGGTTTTTGTTCCATATTTTTCTGTTGTTCATTCTGAAAACCTAGTCATTTTACTTCAGAAAGAAAAGTCACTTTTTTAAATCTCTAAAGGAAAACCTTTTAACATACAAAGTTGTTTATATTTGCTATTATTATTTTAATAGCTTCATTTATACATTAGATATAACTTTTAAGGTTTTCATTATTTTTAATGGTGTAGGGGAGGATGGTATGTGCACAGGAATGCAGGTGCCCACAGCAGCCAGAAGCATCAGATCCCCTGGAAGCTGGAGTTAGAGGCAGTTGTGGGCTGTCCAACGGGGCTGCTGGG